ATTGTACCACCCTTTTGTGAAGCGGCAGCGCACGGCCGCACGCGGACTGGGAGCTCCAAGCCAGGAAGTATTTCCCTGAAGATGGACTGGCAATCCCGAATCCAAAAACTACGATTCCCAATCTTCTTGGGTTTGTTGGGGGTGAGTTAGCCTTTCAAAAAGAAGAAGATGTAATATGTGCATTAATCTATATATGATGTAACATATACATATATCTATACATGTATGAACATGCATGGTCCTTTTGGGCGGGGGGGTGTTATTTATTTGATTTTGTTTCGGGGGGTAAGCGCGAGGCCATCGCCGCGGAGCGGGACGAGGCGCGCACGGAGGCCACACGCCTCAAGGAGGAGATGGGCAGCTCCAAGGCTCGACGCGACGCGGGGTGCGGCGCGGGGTGCGGCGCGGGGTGCGGCGCGGGGTGCGGCGCGGGGTGCGGCGCGGGGTGCGGCGCGGCGGGTTGGGGGCGGGGGGGGTGAGTGGGGGGGAGGTCCAGTGGTCGAGCGTGGTTATACCCGGCAAATTCACGTGGAGCCTCCTTTTTTGTTTGGCTGTTTTGGGTGTCCAAGGTAAAGAGTTACTTCACCCAAATCTAAAATCTGGCGAAATCCTTAGAGGCATGGGCCCAGACGAATAAGAGCCGCGATGCAGATTCTAGAATCTGAAAGTTGGCTTTTGATGCGCTACGGGAAGTGGCAAGAGGGCCATGCACATTCAGGCCCGTCCACTGATTGGCGCAGATGCAGCCTTGCAAAAGGTGCACCCGGAAACAGACAAACAATCTAGCACACTGCGGAGGAAGATCTCATGGAGAAGCAGGAGGCGATCGCTGCCATCATTCGAGACATGACTTGAAATCCATGGAGCACATGTCAAGATGAGGATGTGCCAATATGATACGGCACTCTCTACCATGAGTAGGCAAGATGAGGATGTGCCAATATGATACGGCACTCTCTACCTAGGCCCTCGCACGTCACAGCAATAAATAATGGAGGAGTTTGGTTGAGCGGCGGAAGCGAGCAATTCCAGCTTGCGCCCAGGAAGTGAGATGCAGTCCTGGGAAGACAAACTGAAGAAAGCAGATGAATCCGAGCAGCTTCTTGGCTTCGGAGACCCTCATGTCAAACTTTGAGCCGGTAGTTTGGTCCAAACATTGGTGCCTGCAGTTTAGCCCACGTCCCCGCCACGCTAAATACAAGACAGTGCCCCATTCATGGGTGAGGGGAATGGGGGGCGGCAGAATTGCATCCGAAACGGTCAGCTTTGGCGTTTTATAGTTGCGGAAGCTTGAAGCGTTTTCTTGACAGGGTTGCTTCTCAACCATTCCGGCGATGCCGAATTCCGGCAAAGTGCAGTTCGCTGGTATTGACTAGTGCAACCTGTGGTACTTCTTGATGACCCCTTCTAAAATGGGTGTGCTGCATTCGTGGTTATAGTGAGTCGTTTGATCTTCTGTTGGTCCAATCATGGACTTTTAAGAGAGCTAAAGTCTACCTGTGCTGTCCCATCACTTGGGGAGATACAGGCTGCTGTGTTGTAACCGGGGCGCTGGGAGAAACAATCGTTTGTGCTTGCAGGAGGGGCGCCCAGTCACCTTGCAACCATAAAGTGTGTTGCCCTGCCAGCCTTTCAGAATGACGGACGCTTCTTCTCTTGACCGCCTTCACGATAGACATCCAGAATGAAATCAACCATTTGGAGAAGGCCCTTGAACGTACGAGTGCACTTACCTTACCATTTCCCGGCCCTTTTGACAGCTGAAAGCTGAGGGTCCTGAAGAAGTCCTTTGAGGACATGGGCGCGACTTGAAATGAAAGTCGTGGGGGTTCTCATGGCGGGAGATCAGGTTGGTTTGACTGCAACCAGCTGCGGCCGTGTTGAGGTCTGCATCTCAGCCCCGATACTTATGTTCGGAGTGGCCTATGAAACTGCTCCACCTTCGCCTCCACGCATGGCGAGCGACATTGAGCGACATTGCTGGTTTACATGTGTGGCTGAATATGCGTCGAGATGCCCCAAAGGTACTCTCACATACACCAATGTATGGACACACCCAATGCTTGGATAACACGTGTTCCAGTCTTTTGCCACGACGTATTGCCAATTGGCTGTCTTATGCTTCCAGAGGTTCCACCCCTCCCAAACTTGCACAAAGCTAAGCGCCCGGCTTGCCTGCACTGGAGGATGGGAACACGCACCTAAGGTGAGCATGCAGGACATGATGGCACTGCTTACGAAAGGGGCGGGCTTCGGGAAGGATGACACTATCTGCCACTTTGTCAACCTTTGTGCCTTGAATGCAAGAATGGCCGCACATAGCTGGCAACCGGATGCTCACAACGCTAGCAGCATGCATGTCACTGCCGCATTGGCCCCATTAGCCGATATGGCTGCTGCTGCCGACATAAAAGGACAACCACGAACCAGACGCGAACTGAGCCCTACAATACTCGCCCACGGCAGCCAATTGAATGGGTAATGGGACCGTTTATTGCCTTTGGCCTAGCCGCGGCTGCACTGTCGAGCAGCAAGATCATGACTGAATGCATGAGCCAAGCGCCCGGCGCACGAAGGCTCGCGCTACACTCCCAGTGGTTGTTGTCCAAACTTGAGGGCTGCAAACCCCAGTGCAAACCTAATATTGGCTTTGAGAGTCATCATTATTTCGACTTTTGAGAGGGCTCAAGCCATGTGTGGCTAGTGTTCTAACTTGTCCGTGCCTTTCCTACGTTTCATCGTGGTTGTTCATGGCAGTCCTTTGTGCCATCCTTTAGAAACACTAAAAGCCAAAAGCAGCGACCACATGAAGCTCCTACTTCCAGGTGAGGATGCACATGACGACGGCCTGATATACTTGATCCCCCCTGGCACCACCAAAATCAAGAAGTTCGAAGACAACGACGAGGCGTGCGGACGAGGAGGTTTTGGCAAAAGAGGCAATTACCTCAACTAATTCTTGCAAGTTGGTGGCCAGAACTAGCTTCTCTCGTGCCAAATCTTCTTGGGTTGCTTTCAAAACAAGGTACCACCAATGGGGACGGCTTGCGAGGAGCCTGGAGCCGCAACCAACTCGTGCCGGCTGCCAATGTTGGTTAGGCAACTGTTTAGAAACAGTCAGGGCTTCTTCAGATGGTCAAGTGGCAATCCTGTTTTGGCGCTTGAAAGGGCGAAAAACGCACCAGCCAGTCTATGTCACACCCTGGCTGCAAGATTCAGATTTGCTTCCGGCGACTCGTCCACTGGAGGCATTGACATGAGACAATTAATAGAACAAATACCCATGCTGCTTGTGTTGCTCAATTGTCAGTGCTGTAGGGAGCTTGGCCCAGTTTCGTGGTACCAGTCTCAACGCGCCCAGGCGGGGCTTAAAGTCTAGGCTCGTTCTGGTGGCCTTGTTCAGTGATTTCATGTCTCGGCCTTCGCCCACAGGCATAGAACCAGCTGTGTGACCACATTGATCCGAACGCATTCCGAACGTGACCACGCGTGGTAGGAGGTATGCATCAAGCTGGACGGCGACAGCATCCGAGCAGTACATGCCATCCTGGAATCCCTGGATTCCACAGGCGTTTGCTGCAACTGGACATCTGCGGGGAGAGCGAGTGGGCGCCAGCGCGCATTCTAAATTGCCAGAGTGAAAGGCGTATGCTTCTCGTTAAGGCCTTCCCATTTGTCGCCCTGCTCAAGATCAACAACAACAGAACGGCTTCCCGTTTCCGGGATGGGCATCAATGAATCCAACAAGTTTGTCAAGCGACACTTGTCAGTCACAATCGCAGAATGACAAGGTCGTAGGGCATCAAGCCGGTGCTCGTTAGGAACCATGCTGCGAGACGCACGGAAATAAGGTGTACCACATCAAACAGCAATGCAGACACGTCCCGCACCCACAGTGAAGCCTTAGACCCTTCCTAGATACCCCCTGAACACTGAAAACCCCGCAACTAGACCCTCAGGGCAGGACAGGGCTGGGGTTGACGCGCCATTCGAAGTGTGCTGTTGATCAGACCACAGTTCCTACATATACGCATGTTTTTACATGACTGCATCACATGTTTGGTTTACACGCTATGTTGTTTTGGATCTGTTCACAAACTGTTTATTGATGACTCACCCGTGGCACCTATTTTTCCCATGGCCATTGGGCAGCTATGCTAAGATCGATTGATAGCTGCATGTGTGCTGTCATGCTTTGCATCATTCGCCACATGCAAGTGAATGCATGGTTGCGTATGTTCTCTCACAAATGCACTCAAGCCTAAGGACACTTGATGAACCTTGCAGCCAACAAAGGGAGCATGCATGACACTTGATTTGCGTGAGCGTGCGTGAATGCAGGGGCAACAGCTTTTGTTTCCTGGCTGCAATTTGTGGCATGTGAGTGGGACGGGGCACTTTTCAGTTTTTCGTCTGCCGGGACTTTTCGAAGAAATGCAGCCAGCCCATTGCCCCCTCCACGAAGGACTTCCTTTCCGAGGGGTCCAATACTCCGTCCTGCAACAGCCCAGGGGCATGGCACCGACCCACCTCCAATTGGGTGTGGGTCAAAGTTAAACCAGGGGACCGCAGGTTTTAGTCTTGGTTTCCATTTGCCAGGATCCATTTTGGGTACTTGTTTTTTGACCCAAACCCATAATTGCTTTCCGGCCCGGGCTCCGGCTCTGTCACGCGCAGGTGTGATGATCAAGTCGGCCTGCGCGGAGGCGGTGACTTGGGTCAACGGGGAGCAGCTGGTCCACGGCAAGGATGCGGCCCCTCAGCTTGTCGAAGCGAGTTTTGCTTGCGACAGGCCGACCGGCGTCTTGTTGTTTTGTTGGCACTAGAAAACCGCATGCGCAAATTTGCCAGACTGGTGATTCATGGGAAACATTAGCTCATGAGCAAATGTCAGAGGCCGTTTTTACCTCCAGATGAATTGGTTGATGGCGTTTGTTGCGCAAAGTATCTCCAAGAAGCTGCCATCAAGCACTTTGCAATAACCCCGTTTTCCACAACGGGAGAAGCGATTTCACCATGCATGCCATGATCAATCTCGAGGCGGTGAATGCTCGGCATGTTTGGGCGTGTTTGAAGCAGGAATGCGTCTTCGGACGATTACCCAGAACAGGAGTCGACCAATTTGAGGGTCTCTGTATTTAAGATGCTGCCAAATGCTTGAGATATCCCTACCTTAAGCGTAAAATTGAGGGGGTCACGTCAATAACGGAATGCGGTTCTGGGTTTGAATCTAATCTTTCGAGAGAACCCGAGCGTCTCCGTTTGCCCTGCTTAGCGCCAATGGCAGTAAGCAGGGCAACAAAAAGGGTCGACGTTTGCATTTTATCGCTGGATGTTGGGACATGAAGAAATCGGCAACCGAAAGTTGTGCTGTCCTAGACGCCAGTAGCGGTTGGCAGAGCAGATGTGCAAAACCGCCGGATGGGCACTTGTCAGGTTGCCACGTTGACTCATTGAAAAACATGACAGAACAAGTTGGAAAATAGAATGCCCACCTTCTGGAAATCCTTCCCCCCCCCACCGACCTAACACTAAGCCTTAGATGCAACATCATGTCCGCAGACTGCTTGAGGAGTTTGTGACAGTTGTGTTGTTATGAATTCAGGCAGCAGCCAAGATGGAATGCAGAACGGATCAGCTTCTGATGTTCGTGGCAATCTGGAAGTTGCGGATCCAAACATGGCGCAAGGTTTCAAGTTCCTTTGTCCAGCTCCTTTGCGCAAGGTCTGAAGTGAGTGGTTTTGTTGGGCTGTTCCTTAAGGTCAAGCTGGAGCACGGCGCGCGGGTCATCCTGGGCCATGACTTCGTGTTCAGGCCTTCCGAGTTGGTAACAGGGACCCAATGGAGGGCCACTGCATGTGTTGAGAAGTCGGGAGCCTCATTGGGAACTGTGAGCGGCTTTTCGACCGCGGGATTGACGTCGGCTTTCGATGTTTGATGCGCCGGTTCGTCAGTATGTCTGGCTGACTGGAATTCCATCTCAAGCCTTGCCTAGAGAAGACCTTGACACTTCGTACTTTCAGTGGAGCTGGCAGTAAGGCTGCAGCAAGGGTATTTTATCCTTGTGGACCGACCCTGGGAACCAAGATGCGCTGATGAGAGTTCGCAGCGACGTGAGTGTCCTCGATGTGTGAGGACATGGTTTCTGGGCACGACTAAACCCGAAATGGGCCAATAGCGCTCCCAACTTTTCAAACCTGCGGGATAGCACTAGGGAATGCCACAAGCCACTCTCACAAGCCACAAGCCACAAGCCACAAGCACTAGGGTTGGAATTTCTGCCACTCTCACAAGCCAAGTCTGGATGTTTGGACCAGGTTTGTGGACCCCAAGGGCAAGAAGAAGAAGGCTCACCCCATGGCCGCCACCGGGGGCTTCGATGAGAAGGGCCAGCCGGTGGTGATCGACTGGCAGTACGCCATGGCCGAGCTCTCCAGGAAGAACGGGGCCCTTTGGCGCCGAAGGAAACACCTTGTTTGTTTGTTTTTTTGTAAACCCCCAAAAAACCACATTTTTGGGGGTGGCCTAAAAAACACATTCCCACGTGCGGTACTTTGACATGAAACCATTAGAGAACTTTATATAGGGAAACAGCAAAGCTTTTGGCTGCATTTTTCACGCTTCGTTTCAGGCAACAAGATCCCCCCCGTTTGGGGATGTGTCAGGGTAACTGCTGAGGAATGCAAATGGCTAGTCTTACCAGTCGTAATATGGACCATCAGGTGACCTGCGCAGGGATGTCAACAAACATTCCTGCTGCACACTGAGCAAGAACTGCCGACTCAGTGAGCACATACATGCTGTTGATGAGAAAAACATCCGCCCCACTTGGTTGGTTTGCCCCATGAGCCACAGAGTCTCATCCATTCCCACTGTTGAGATGGCGAACATGCTATGATGTTTTTCTTTTTAAAGAAGAGGATGCACCAGAGTGAAAGTAATTGCCACAACTCCCTGACTGTGGTCCAGTAAAGGGGAGGACCAATCCAAAATGGGTTGGACTTGAGCCATCCGCTTTCCCCCAACTGAACCCCCCCGTCTTTCTTTCTCAGGTGGATGCGGACGAGGAGATCCGCAAGGCCAGAGAGAAGCTGAACGATGAGATGGCGCAGAAGGAGGCGGAAGCGGACGTTTCTGCCGTCGGCGTGGTCCGCTTTTTTTGGAAATCCTCCGTTTTTTCGTGTGGTAGGAGAAAAGGAAAGCAAAGGAGCAACCACGAAAATAGAAAGCCCCGCTATTTGAAGACACACCTAGCTGTTGGTGATTGGGACTTAGGTGGGCCCAACGGTTTAGGAGGGTTTCCCTCGCTAGCATCTTACAGATCTGCCTCGTTGGGCACAAGCATTGGCTTGAACTTGTCAAAGAATCCTTGATTCAAGGCAATGCTTTGCTTTGTTGCCTTCTGAGTGGCAAGTTAACACAATAGCTTATTGAATGCGCTCCTCATGGGAGTAAAGTAGGCTATGTTTCGAAGTCGGCTTGCCAAAGAGATGGCAGGCTGACCCGTGTGGATTTGGAGAAGTGCGTCGGTTTCGCGAAATGCCGGCCCAGCTTGATATTGCAGGAATGCTTGCAATTGCTGTCCCGGGCAGAACTGCGTGATGCATTTGTCACGTTCTCGGAATGCTGTGTGCAGGCCAAGTTGGCAGAAGAGCAGAAGCTGCTGGAGGAGCGCGGTGTAATTATGCTCTTTGAATGTCCGCGCATGACGCAAGCCAACATGAGAATCAAGCTTCCTCAGACCTTGCTTGTGCTATGTGCGTTTGGTTTGATTTGCGGCCACTTCCTTTTAGCGTTCTATGTGGCTAGGCTCAGCTTTCAGCAAACCGGCATTCTTCGAACGTTCCCTCCCCCATCCATGCACAGGCAGCCATGCTTGAAGCCCAGACTGATCACAAGGGAGAGTGCTGCAAATTGCAATTGATGTTGTTTGTGGGCCAGTCAGAGCAGACATTGACCTCCCGTTGGAGGGCCAATGCAAAGGGAGCATGTCTTAGAGATTGAGGAAGAGGTGAGGATCAAAAAGTGTGCATCGTTGGCGGCCTGACGCAGAGAGCAGGAACTCAGTAGCGGCACAGAAGTGCCGCAACGGAAATCCTTGTTAGGTAGCGAATATTCTAGCCACATGTGCGCTTTTGTTTGCTTCACAACGGGGAACTGAACCTTCTGCGAGTGCCGCTTTGGTTCAGCTGCATGGACCTAGGGCGGCCATCAGCTTCTTGTGGAGGAATTGGCGGTTTCAGTACCCTTGATCATAGGTGTCCTTCTTGGTTGGTTTGGTTAAACAATGGAAGGCCCTGGTTTACCTAGTGGTTCAATATTTTCAAAAAGGACACCTATGCCCTTGATAGAATTTCCAAGTTGGCACAGTTGCTTCCCCTTTGCACATGTGCGAAGCGAGAGGAGAAGATGCAACAAGAGCGGCAAGGGCAGCTTGCCAAAGAGAACTGCACCGATTCACTGGCCGGTGCGTCACAAGCGGGCAGCGTTGCGGTTGGGTCCTAGTTCAACTGTCATGTGTTCCAGGGGAATGTTGTCAAGAACTAAGCATGAATTGCCCTTTGACTTTTGTTTGCGATGAGTTTGGCGCCTGTGACTGAAACAAACTTGGTCAAGCAAGCAGTTGGCTGGAGCGCCCCGCTGCTTGCGCCTAGGTTTGAGAAGCAGATCGAGGAATTGAAGAAGAAGGGTCATAAAGCCAAGAAGGTTGAGGAGGACTGACGTGAGTTTGGGACATGCGTGCACGTACCATGGCTAGACAAAGTGCTCAGGTGTTTCAAGCCACTGAGTTGGCACCATTTTTCCGAGATGCGCCTTGCAGGAGCAGGTTCAGACTCAGGGCGCTCTGAAGAAGACCCGGCCTTAACATGGGAGGCACTCCCTGATTTGGCTCACTTCGGGATTCCTGCATTCAGATACCCCTTCTGGTTGCTCACTTCTCTCTAGGATGCGCCTGGTCCGAGGTTTAAGTCCAAGCTGGACATGCAGAGGTCTCGGGCGCAGTGGGTACGAGCAGCCTTCACGGCTGGCAAGGAGCGGGCATGCGACAATGGAAAGAGACTAGAGACCAGGGATGTTTTTTCAGGAAATGGCCAGCTACGAAACTCGCGGCAGACAGGAATAAATCGAAGACCTGTTCAAAAGCACGGTTGAACCGGAGTTCATCTTGTCCAGCTGAGATGCTATGTTGCAGCTGCGCAGTGGCGCGCTACACTGCCTCTCAGCACCTGAAACAACTCTTCGGCCTTTTTAGCAACGCGTTGTTTCTCCAAGTCCCGTTTGAACTGCCGCAACGCACCCTTTGCCAACTTGGACACAAAGAAGTGCCAAGCCAAGGGCATAATTAGACTTGATGCGGCCGCGTCGCACCTCAGGGCCGCGGAGGTTTGGAAAGCGCGACAAGACGTACAGGACTCGCGATTCGAGCTGGACATCCGCATCTCTCGGCAGCAGATGGCGGACATCCAGCCCAGATTGGTGGAGGCCCGCAATCCTTTTGAGCTGGGAGTGGATCTTGTTGGGATAGCCTCCGGGCATTTGGGGCGGCGTGGTGGTGATACCCCCAGTGATGCTTAGAGGTTAGTATTTATTCATGCTTCGGGGTGTCCATGAAAGGCTGTCGTGGGTGTGTGAGAAGCAGCCCTCTTCCATCAGTTTAGCGCAGTCTCTCTTCAGCTGGCTTGACATGGTGATCCAGGGAAGTGCAAAAAGTGCCCGCTACCATACTTTGGGTGAGCAGCATGGCAGCATCCCTTCACTTTGGCCATCGCTTCGTGCTTGTCGGTGATTGTTGCATTCGTCCACAGTCTGCTTGCTTTGGCAGTGAAGTCTCAGAACAAGCTGAGCAGAGAGCTGCGCAGAATCTGACTTCACCTGACATCCTGTGTTTGACAGGCCAACCGCATCGGCACACCCATGGGATTCCAGTGACTCGGGCTTCAGCTTGCTGCTTCAGTCGCTCTTATTGGCCGGTTGAATTGTTGTGCGGTTGGTTGGCTGGCTGATCAGCCGATAAGGCGGGCAAGTGTACCAGATGGTGGACCCTGCCCACGCCCATGCAATACCTGGCCCACGGGAAATCCAAAAGAACCAAGCACTGTTTGAGTCTAGCTGGTGCCTTTTGAGTTGGGGGTCTTCATGAGTTGGGGGTTTTGACTTCGCCTCCTGATACCTCTTGTAGTTATTGCCATGGCTTGCGAGGTGGGCCACTAGCGGGTGCGAGTTGTTGCTACTGTTGCTTTGTTCAGACAGTGGCACAACTGGACCTACGAATCATGGAATTGAGTTCGCAGCGCACATGGACGCCATTCATTGTTCAAGGTTGCACCCGCTGGTGTTCTTGAAACTGATGGAATATATGCTGTCCATTGCTTGTGATGGTCTTCAAGACGGTGTGCTGCTATCCCTTTGTGGCCCGATAGGGGCCACCGCGTCTAGCATTCTAGCAATAAAAGACCAAATGCCTGTGGAATTATGCTCCAAGTGTCAACTGGACTTTGCAGCGCTGCCTGCCATGTCCGCAGCAACGTTGAGGAATTGCTGTTCCTTTCATTGAGCCATATCCATGTTGCCCTGCCAAGAAGCTAGGTACAGCTTCCATTTCATCGATGCTGTGGACCCAAGGCAGGGAGAGAACATGTAAAGGCCTTGCAGCGAACCATTCGATCCCCCCTGATGAGTCTATCTTAAATGATGGAGTCGAACAAGATATAACGCTTGGCTGGCAGGCACTAGCCATTAAGGCTGGATGTTTGCTTGACAATCTCACAAACTGCAATTTGAGCATGCACTTTAGCCTTCGTGATTGCAACGATTGGCTGCGCATGTTGCCCATACCACTCGGCTGTGGCTACATCACATGGACCACAACTTCGACCGCAGTGGGCAATACAGCCCCTTGTCCTTTCAGGATGTTCGACGACATGCGGGGACATGCACTGCGCTTGCTACAAGGTCACAAAGCTGCCACAGCAACAAAGATGATCAAAGATGCAGAGAGAAAGACGGAGAGATCAGCAGAGATGAAGAGAAAGAGAAGGGGAGGGCGAGAGAGAGAGAGAGAACGAGAAAGAGAGAGACAGAGAGAGAAAGAAAGAAGGAAGGACGTAAGGAAAGAAAGAAAGAAAATCAAAGAAACCACAGCACTTGAAGAGGCCTTTGTATCGTACTGTGGCCGGGAAGGCTGTTGGGCGTGCTTAAGGTCACCGCCTGTTGTCCAGCGCGCCTTGTAAGCCAGTGATTTCATCCAGCAATGCTTGCCCTTGGTGCCCTGGGTGTTTCACAATGCATTGGAGCTCTTCATAGAACAAGCCAGAAAAAAAAGGCAAATCCCTCATTCTGTATCCTTCCAATTTCATCGGATGATCATCGAAACGAATCCAATCGAATGTCAAACGACTTGCTGCACTTTCCGATGTGTGCGCGGCATCCTCGCGCGGCACCCATGCGAATCTTCTGTGTTTCGTTCGAAATTATCAGATGATCACCATAGCAACTCCAAGAACCTGTCAAAAGACGTGTTACAGTCATCCTTGTGGGAACCATGCTAATCTGAACCTACTCGCCTGACGAACAGCCCATTGAACAACTGGCTTGCACAGAGAGTGCTCCCAGATTCCTTGTAAAGTGCCATCAAGACTACCCTTTGAATGGGGGTTAGCAACCTCGAAGGGCCCAACTTCTGAGAGCGCCGTTTTGGTTTGCGAAGCACTTGCCAGGGCCCGGAGGGTGGCCGCCGGCGCGGGCTTCGACGACGCGGGGGAAGAGGTGGTGGCACCCAAGCGGCTGCTTCTGCAGATCAAGGCCATCCGGTGAGATGGTTTCAGGTTTCAGCAGCGGAATCCTCCTATTCAGTTGGCTTGTGGTGTCAGGTTTCAGGAACCTTGCCACGGATTCGCGAATGTAGCGACATCCTATTCAAATGGCCATCACGAGGAGGGTTTCACATTGTACAATTGTGCCGCATGTGTGTTTGTCTTTTGCGGAGCTGTGCAAGGTGTTGACACTGCACTGCCCAGGTCCCACGTGATACTCTACCATGTGGGTAGCAGATCACCAAGCGAGAAAACTTGCGGGAGATGAACTCGCTTTAGCAATATAGAATGTTTGTCCACTAGCAACGCGTGGCCTAAAATGCTGATATGAGTGTGAGAGGGATAAATAAAAGACACGTCGCTGAAGCCAGCCAGGTGAACAATCAGAAGACGGAGAAGCAGCAGCTGTGGTCGCTTCCGTCCCTTGCGCCAAAACAGCCGTAGAACCGCCAAACCCAGAAACTCCACATGTGGCATGGTCAAAGGACCGCTTAAGTTGGAAGGGATGGTCCTTGACATCTAAAGCGGGGCTTTAGGCAACTGTGCAGGTTCAACCATGAAGACAACCACCATTATCCACATGGGAGGCTTTGACCATGGCACACGTGATGCATTTGTCAAGTTGAACATTGGCTCAAGACCTGATCCAATAACGGTCCACTACAGCAAGAACTGCTGACCGCTTTTTTGGGAGAGATCCCGGCTTCTCTTCTTGCTTCATGATGCTATGCTGTGGGTGTAAGTTAGTATCCCTTGGTTTTATCAGCAAGTCATATCACCGGGCAGCGTTTTTTGACATTTAGCGCGCAAAGTTCAGCTCAGTTAGGAATGTAAGACCTGAAGGCATGCACGACTGCCGAGAAGGCAGCTTCGAAAATGGAGATTCCTAATAATTAGTTTTGCAGGAGGTTCGCCTGGGCCAATTTCAGACACATGCCACACATCTCAGTCTCTGAGCTATTTGGCTCACCGGAAACAACAGCAGTTTTGAACCAAAACAGAAAAGACTTGTTTTTGCTGATTTAAGGAGAAGGTAATTACTGTCCCTCTTCATGTTGCATGGTGGGGGGGAGGTCTTGGCTTTGAGACTGGGAGAAGCTGCAGGGTCGAGGCAAGACAACCGAGGAAGTTCCAAGATCGCTTCGTGAAGATGCTCGGCTTTGCGAATCGGGCAGCCGGGCAGGGCGCGACTGAACAGGACAGCCACACGCGGGTTGCATCGGCGCGGAGTCCATGTACCTTTTCTCCAACAATCATGGAAGTGGAAAGGGCCTTCCCCAACAGGAAAGTAGTCTTCCAACAGCTTCCTGTGAGCTTCCTTGATTGGAGGAGAGTCAAGTCTTTTGTCAGCTCGGGCCACGTGATGACATTGTGGCCTTGGTCACAATTCAGGCATGCGAGTTGGCAAGGCTTGAAGGACAAACGAGCTGAGCCGTGATGAAGGTCCTACTAGGTTGGTGAGCTATACCAATTCCACGGGTGCAGACAGCTGACCTTTTGCAGAGGCGTGCTTTGTTTTGGGCCAAAGTTGTTCCTTTGGGCATGCTGTTGCCTGTCACTGTTGGCTTTGGTCCACAGCCTGGAACTACTCCAGTTGAAAACTCGGATTGCGGGTCCCCGGTTCAAGACATTCGGCACATTCCCATTTGTGAACCTTGGTTCGCCCAATGGTCAATCTCGTGACCGGGACCGGAGTTGGAATGTATGTTCACTTCCAGGAGCTGGCCTACTTCTGGGATGAGATGGAGCAACTTGGGCACAGATCGCTGATGTATGCTGCGATGCAAGTGTTGTGCTTCTCAGGGTTGCTGGGGTCTTCGTGGGATTGACGCTGTGTGCATTACCAGGCGCCAGCCTTTCAAGGGCAGCGGAAGATGCGTTTGGCTGGCAATCAAAACTAGGTTGAGGTGATACCCAGGAGTGTTTGGGTGGAAAGGACAGTTGTTGCCCAAAGAGTCGGACATCAGCCTCAGGTGCCGGCAGTGACCACCAGATCAAAACTGTGGTTTCATTTGCTCGCTTACATACATAAGCATATCCAAGCAAGATCATGATGATGATCATGCCAATGGCGATGAACATGATGACGCCGACGACGACGATGATGATGATGACGACCATGACCATGACCATGACCATGACCATGACCATGATGATCATGAGGATCATGAAAATCAGGAGGATCAGGAGGATCAGGATGATGATGATGACGATCATGATGCTGCTGATGATGATGATGATGATGATGTTCATCCAGGCTGTCCTGCATTTCGCCGGCCACTTTCTTCTTGAATTGAAGGATGGTTCCTTTGGGCCAGCTCAGTGCCAGCAACGTCTTCAGAGTCTGAATTGCGCTTATCCTTACATACTTGATGTCAGCAGCGGTGAATTCTAAGATCTCCTTGCCAGCATTGTGCTCTCCCGTCGGCATGTACAAGCAAGATGAACGGATCTTCCGAGTTCAGCATTTGAATCAGCGTGGTGGCGTGATTCCACGCCAGAATGCGCACGACTTGATCTGCAGGACGTAGGCTCATTGTGTGCTCATTACGGAAATGCAGTATGCTTGTCAATTGCTGTATGCTCGTTGTGGACTATTCCTTGGTTCGGTTGCGCGCCCAAGCAGGAGAAGTCAAAAGATGGCTATGCTTCACACGACTTGTTGTTGTATGTTGTTCGTAGTTCAGACACTGTCGGTGTCAATGCTTCTCCCACCATTTTGCAAGTCGTTGCCACAGCAGTTCCCTGTTTGGCGGTGTTCTTCTTCCGGTTTGAGCTGGTTCTCCGCCTTGCAAGGCTGACCCCCCCAGCCCAGGCACCAGCTGGTTGGCACAGCAGCCATCGGGGTTACGCCATTGATGAAACTGGACTTGGCGAGGGCCCCAGGGGAGGGCGCAACCCGCGGAGGGGGTTGAGTGATGTCAAAGCCAGGGGCCCCTGCGCGGACTGGGCCAGCTCACCATGAAAACCTCCAAGGGCTCCATGGTTTTGAGGGGGCCAAGGACCTGACCCACAAAAGCGCATCTCAAGTATCTCAAGTGAGGTGAGCTGTTCTTGGTTTCAAGATGGATGGTGCAAGGAAGTCTCATTGATTTACTCATCAGCCTTCAGTCATACAGTGGCATAGCGTTGCTGGCAGATGCTCAGTACAGGACTTCTGTTTTCCTTTTTGTTTAACAAAAAGTTTGCTTGCACTCACGGCGTTTAGCCAGTTGTTGCATCAGCTTTGACGTGCCACGATCAAGTCAGACTTGCGCCCATCGGCGACATGCTTGTGTGTAGGGATCCCTGGCTTAGGTCAAGGAGTATGTGACGCTGAGGGACTTCGACGGCAACGTTTCAGGAGCCGCGCGCACTCCTCCAAGAGCACTCGCCGTACTGCTTGCGACTCATCTCCTCCATGTGCTTGATAGCCAGTTCAGAACGCGCAACCCCAACATCCAACGATTCAGCATCTTGAACCACAACAGGTGCATATCTTGTGCAGAAAGCTGTTCATTATGAACCTACTTTGTTTTCGGCAGCGGCACGAGAATCGCTTGTGTGAGTGGAAGAGCACTTCAAACTTGCAGTAGGTTCAAAGACATGTTCCCCTCCAAGGCCGTCCACTTATAACTGGCAATTCTGTGTACCCAGACTGATGTGCCACTTTTTGGACAAGAGCCATTTTGAAATAGTCGGGTACTTTCTTTCTAGCAAAGCTGACGAGCATAGGCTTTCTTTGCTGGTTGCGCTTGGCACTTCGCAGGCCTAGGTTGGGCCCAATGTCCATGTTCTCATTGCTAGGGCTCGTTCGGCATCAAACCCAAATGGTGACAGCCTTTGTTGCTTTTCGAGGGGTTGTTCGTTGCGCATGTTTGCATTCCAGGACCCCAATGAAAGAAGTTGTATCAAGTGACCAGAGTTGCCTTTCCATTGTCGCTCCAGGAGCGTTGGAGGTGAGCATGAAGATGATCTTGAGCCAGAAGCCCTCCCTCTCGCGGATTGGTACCGAGGCGCGTGCATGGGAGGTAAGCAAATATTTCTGAGCGCAGCTTCAAAATGATGCTTCATGTTTTAATAGATCCCGAGAGGCTTAGCTTTTCAGGTTGCTGGAAACAAAGGTGAGAACCGGATGAGGTTGGCACAGCGGCGCTGAAGAACTGCGAAGTCACCGGGAGCGCAGCTCGGATAAGACTTGGGGAGACCTGCTCAGTTTGCACCGTGGAGCTTGGTGCCGTAAAAAGTGGACGTGTTGAGGGAGTCTCCAATTTCCTTTTTATTGCACCGTTTAGAGGGTAAGTGTTGGGGATGTCACCTTGAGGAACCCAGCGTCCAGCGTGTGTTCTTTGTCTCGCAGCTTTCAGGCCATGTGAGGGCGATTGAGATTCAAACAAAATCCCAGGTCTGCAAACATCCAACCCGGCATGCATGCAGCTCTTTCTACAAGCTTCCAGAACGCTGTTTCTGAAAGTTGGCTGCGCCTTTTTGCAGAGAAGATTCAAATGCAAGGGGGTTGTAGGGTCCCTTTTTGGGAATGGTTTTAGAGGGATCCATCAGGAAACCCCATTTTGGGGGTCCCCCTATGCCAAGACACACCCAGATCTTGCTTTGCTTTTGCGGAAAGAACGCCGTTGACAAGTTGTCGAGGTTGTGCCTTTGGCCTGTTGGTGGCTGGACGGTGATTTGAGGCTCCGTACGCTTGGCAAGATGACTTCCCCAAAAGGATCCAAGGAAGCATCAGGCATGGGGCCAAGGCTTTTTTTGCGGCTTTCGAGGGGTTTGGAACCTGCAGCATGGCAGGACGCAGTTTGTTGGGACGATCCGTGCGCACCTCACGCATGTCATCATTTCCTGACATGCCATGGATCTGCATAGATTCTGCACTCTTTAATGAAGCTTTTGCAAAGGATTACCTGGTAGTCGCATCGAGCAGTTGCCGAACCCAGCCCTCAGGGCCTTTCTCGAATGTCAAAGGAGACCAGGCATACAAGCCATGCCCTTTCAGTTCAAAACGTTGCGTACGCCAAGGTAGATCAGCGTAGCATCGTTCTTACCATGAAGCACATGCGCGCTTTGTGGCGTTGGTCGTGTCCAGAGAGGTTTGTCCCAGGATTCGGAGCCCTTCAAGTACAGCTTTCAGCTGTTTGGAGTTGGGAACGTGGCCACGAAAGCGAAGGGTGCAGAAGGGTGCGGGGTGCTACCATGGATTGCGGCTCACTGGTAAACTGCACGCTTGTTGTCAATAGTCATGTTGAAAGTAAACCAGCCAGCCGAATCTCACAGAAAGTTTGTAGGGATCGGCTCCAAGGTCACTTTCGGCCGCCTTGCGTACGAGGGCGCTGAGAGTCGCAACTGGCGGGATCCGGGTCGGAATGTAGCGTACGTTGGCCAAGGCAAAGCAAAAATGTGTCATACATTTCCTTAGGCAGCCCATCAAATCACACACACACAAAAGCGCATACTTTACAGTAATTTATTGGATCCAAGGGGGTGTATTACACGGGTTCTTCCTATGTGACCGCAGGGACATTGTGTTTCCGGTGCTATCCAAGACCCCCCTTGCAAGTTCAGAGGGCTTGTGGCATTGGCAGCGCGCAGCAACTGCATTGCTGTCGCTGGGGTATTAGGCTTGTTGATTGATGTCTAGGCGCAAATGAACTGCAAACATGCAGTAGTGGTAGCCAGGCATTCGAGGTCAACATCATAAAATAGAGAAATCAGGGGCAACAAATGCTTCTGTTTCAAGGGGACATTTCTTCACCGCATGCACCACCCAGGATTACATGAGCTCTCAGAAACGTAGCAGTGCTGTGTGGGATTCCTGGCAGTACTTCGAATTTGAACCTAGCCTCATGTATCGCAGGTATCACACCCCGAGGAGTGGCGTGAGGTTTGGCTTGCAGGCATACAATGGCCCAAGGCGTTTCAGCATCCTCTTTATCAGCCTCTTTTTACTCGTGGTTGTCAATAATGGAGAGCAAGTGAGACGACAGGTCAACCGTGAACCCTTTGCCACTGTTCATCTCTGTGAGACTCATGGGCTTGTGTCACGATAGGGGCACCGCCCATTTGTGTGTGTGTTTTTGTTGGTTTCCCTTCAAACCCACCTCAAAAAGGGTACCAGCTGCAAACCTCCCTTAAACGCAACTCGTGGGTCCCAAAGGAAGACGGGGCAAACAAAAGCATTGGATGGCATCCTGTCCAGGGGCAGCTTCTTCGTGCGCTTCTCCTGGTTCGACACCGAGGGGCGCATGGAGCATCACTCCCCCGCGGCAGAGGCCACGGATTTGCAGCGGCCCGCTGCAAGCGGGGGAGACACGGGGTGGCCTGTGGGTTTTGCTCGAGAAAAGCATCAGCATCCTAAAACCGGTGGACGGCTTACCGATGCTGTGGCGGAGAGAGAGAGAGAGAGAGAGAGAGAGAGAGAGAGAGAGAGAGAGAGAGAGAGAGAGAGAGCGAGAGAGAGAGATAGAGAGAGAGAGAGAGCGAGAGAGAGAGAGAGAGAGAGATAGAGAGAGAGAGAGAGAGATAGAGATAGAGAGAGAGGGAGAGGGAGAGAGATCCTAAACCTGTTGGTTGTTTCTTAGGAGGGTTCCCGTTGCGAACCAGAGGTCCATTTTGAACTCCCTTGTTTGGAAGCGAAGCTTGCAAGACAGCGGCTCAATCACAATTGTTTTAAGAGCAACGGCTCCATCTTGTATAAGCAAGCCAGAATACTAGGACTGGTATAATATTTTCATGTCACAGGATGCCGAGAATTGGCCCTAAACCCGATAGAAAGAAGCAGGCACAGCCCACAACCTTATTGAACATTGTGTCAGGAAAGGATGCATTGGGTTGCCTCCAGACTGGCCGCAGCCGGGCCATATAAGAATGAGTATGTGGTAAAGTATGGGAAAGTTAAACGGGCGCAAGGCCCCAAGGCTGTGACAATGGGCCTATCCAGCAGTGGCACACAACTTCACCCCAAGTTCCTTGCATGCTTCTTGGGACGGCCAGTCAGTCCTGTTTCACCAAGCAGGGCCACAAGCCACAAACCGCCTAACAATGTACAATCCCGTACCCCCTGCACGTCAGGATGCCAGGGTGCCAACACAAGTTCCGCCTTTCCGGCCTTTTCCCAGGCATACCTTCGAATTCAAGCAGGTGTGCAGCCACTTGGCCAGGATCCTTCAAATGACAGCTGGGCCTGAGCAAGCAAGTGCTTGACCAATTTTCAGGGCTTTTAGCGCATGCATGTCATCATAGCCTTTGGCCAGTTTGCTCGTTGCAATTGGCTTGGCCATTAAACCTCAGCACGGGTAAACTTAGCACCATCGCACAAGATGGCCTTTGCCCTCTCTGCACCTACCCATACACAGAGGCACACACACACACACTAACACACGCACACATTAGGAATGCCACTGATGCTTTCATGGCATGAGGCGCTCTCCCCCCGCCACCACATGCGCACGCACGCAAGCCTGCACGCACGCGCGAGCACACGAGCACGCGCGCACGCGCACGAGCACACCCATGTGCACACCCACGCGCACACGCAAGCGTAAGTACGCATTCGCCCAACTTGGCGCACGCTCGCCCGCCCGCTCGCACAATTGTGTGTGTGTGTGGATTTGTTATTACAGCAGTCATTTGTGACGCTCGTGCTCGGCACGGAAAACAGAGGGTATATTTTGTGGACTAGTAAAACTTGGCGAAATCTTATTTTGCAAGATGGCGAGTTCATCAAGTTCTTAGAGAGTGGCGTCATGGCCATTCAGGCGCGGTTTCCCCGCGTTGCTTTCGCACGATTGAAGCCAGCGGTGGGCGATCTGTGATTAGCCGGGTGAAGAACCCCTGGTCGTTAGCTGTAGCAGCATGCATGAAATCAACGGATCGAAGTAGCCAAGAGCTGGTGCATTGCCGTTGCTTATTTGGCATCTAAGGAACACTCCCTTCTTCCCCGCATTGCCTCCGTTCACCTCTATTCCCTTTATTGCCTTGGTCACTTTGACTGTTTTTCCGGGTTTCTCTTGAGCCCAGCACTTGACTGCGGCAAAATCATGGGCCAGATCCGCGCCTACGAGCGGGGCGCGGCCGCCGGGGAGCTGGACATTGTGAAGCAGAAGCTGCGCCTAGCAGAGGAGAGAACCGGATGCGGCGGCAAAAGAAGGGAATCGGAATAGCTTGTTGCGTTGGGCAGTCCCCAATTTTTCTGGAGGCACTTTTGGCGCGGGTTCGCGCCTTTGCCATCATCTGCCTTTTGAGCCTTAGACCACGTCGGAACTCTAACTTTGCAGGGGGACCAAGAAGTTTCAGCTTTGGCCTGTCAGGGTAGGGCAGGCGTTTGAAGCCTGGAAGTCCGAACGCATGACAAATGGTGTCATACTTATTTTTTCCCTGGACCACATTCTAAGTGGCAATCTTCTCCAGAAGAAGGGTGTGAACGAGCCCATCAGCATTTGAGACCTAATTTGGTCCACGCCATCTCAGCATGATATCTGCTTCACTTGGTAGATGTGGAGTGAGAAAGCAACCTGTTTGAGTGTTGCCTTTCCTTGTTTCCCTTAGAGGCTTGTGGGGCCCACTCGTTAACATGTGGCTCATGGCATTACGGGGTCGTGCGGAAGCCACACTTCTCAGCTGGGATATCAAGCATTGCTTGCTTCAGTCGATTTCCCGGCAACATCCAGAGCCGTTGCATCATACCCAGAAACCAAAGAGGTGGTCGGTGAAAAAGAACATGCTCATTCAGTGTGATTGCTTCAGCATATTCCGAACTCTAAACGTGTCACACCTCATCATGCCTACCAGGACCAGCTTGCCATCCTCAAGAAGCAGCAAGAAGAGGCACGCAGCGATTATTTTGGGTCCAGCGGCTGCAGCTACCTGCTTCAGCGCATGTAGTAGGCTGTTGTGACTTGTAATTTAACTTGGTGTGGCCCTTTCCAGGTTGCCCTTCTTGGTACACACCATTGCTCGAGTTGTTTTGATTCTTTTTAAAGAGGACCAATATGTTCTTCCCAAGGTGTCCTTCGGAAAGGGACTTGGCTACACATGCCCTTGAATTTTCCAAGGGTTTGCAATGGTGTATCACATGAAGCCTTGGTACTTCCTAAACCACTAAGACACCTGGTGGCATTCACAATTGTCTCAGATTCATGCGGTTCAGCAATGCCTGAATGCACCGCAAGCTAGGTAAACTCGCATGTGGATAGGCAATCCATTGGTCCAATTGGATCCCTTGGCCCCCCATCTTTTTCATCCGAAGATGCGTTCTCCGCAGTGCCCTGGCCCAGCTCGCTCTCCGCTCCGCTTCGACCAAAAGCCATGCCGTCCCTTGAGAAGCGTCTCTCAGCAGGCGGAGTCTTCGTTGTCCAGCAGCGGTTGTTACCCTCCCACCAATTAAGTTGGAACCTGATAGGGGGGGGCTGGAAGATAATTTTCCTTTGAAGGGACATCCTCTCAGGTTCCAGGATGTTCCAGGTTAAATGGTGGGATGTTAGTCAATGGATTAGTCGCTGGTAGTGCCAGGAGTTTTCGAGGGTTGCTGGATCGTCAGTTTCGCGTTGGGGCCTTGTTGCGAGATGCGTCACCCCGCTTGGCAAAGTGAAGCCTTGCTGCTGAGAGCAGGTTGGAGGCAGTGTAGTAAACAGTTCAGATGACCAGGCAACAGTAAGCCCGGGTACGTTTGTGGCTCTTTGTGTTTTTTTTTGAGAAAGGGGTGTCACTTGTTAGCGGCTATCCTTTGCTGTTGGCGGTCGCAGCACCCCCCAGATTGAGTCCAGCGGGATTCCCTTTGCAACCAGATGTTTGTCTGAATTCCCACCTCCCTGCGTTCATGATTGTCGTGCTCCTATTTTTTCCTTGAGCCATCCAGAGACTCCTCACATCGCCATGTTGGGTTTAGCGCCGTTCAAAGCGGCATGCCTTTGGCGCAGTCAAGTTGTGGTACCGTTTTGCGTAGGTGCACCACTCATGTTAGTCTATTTTAGTGCGGATTGGGATGTTCACTGGGGGTACGGGCTTTTTGACCCATGGCCATATGGCTGTGTCTCAGCGAATTGTACCACAATGACACCTGGCATTATTGGAACAAAGACTAAAACCTGCGTTAGCAGCTGCTTCGTTTTGAGCCACCCCCATTGGATTTTCCTCTTCCGCTGTTTTTTTTTATTTTTGGTTTCCGTGCGTTTCAGCTGCGGATGACTCCATCAACCAGCTGGACGGCTCCTTTAAGGGCAGCTCCATGCGCGTGGCAAAGCCCAAGACGGAGCCCGGCTGCTTCGCGGCCATTTGCGGGGGTACCACACCCAAGGAGCGCGAGGCTGTTGGGAATGGAAGATATGGACCATTAGGTTGCAGACGCCGAGGGATATTGAACCTGGTCCTTTGGAGAATTCGTTTGGTTTTTCTTAGCAATAACGGCCTTCTCAGGGCTTGCTTGGCTAAGCTGGGAAGATGTAATCATTCATGCACGCACCTTCCCGCTGCAGTGTGCACTCAAATTTGAAAGCAGGGTGCGACGCCGCAATGGATTGTGAAAACGATCAAGAGAGGAGATGGCAAAGCTTATTCCAGGTGTGATGTGTGCATTGGATTCTGCTACGTGTGTTCCATGGAAAACTAGGGAGTACACAACTTGAGCGCACAGAAAGTTGTAACATGTCAAGCTTGCTGGAACTGGGACTGCCTGAAGTTCCAGTTGAGAGTCAACCGCCAGCAACATCCAGCATGAAGTGGCCACATGGCCTGAGATGTCCCCTTGGCATGTCACTTCATTTGGGGTTGCCATTATTTATCAGTATGCACTGGTAACGTGGCGCAGGCGCTCGGATGTGAAGTCGACACCTTTGGCCGTGTGCATCACAGTAGCAACCAAAGGGCATCGGCGTTGGCAACGCATTGTCGAAGAAGTAGAAAGCAAGCCACAAGCAAAACCAAGCCAAAAAACAGAAATCACGCGCGCAGGCGTGCGCACACCTACCCACCCACGGCTCCTTGGGTACGTTGAGCCAGGTGGATGTGATCCTCATCGGGGCGGGGATCATGAGCGCCACCGTGGGGCTGATGCTCAAGGACCTGGAGCCGGACTGGAAGATGATGATGTCCCTTGGCCATAGGTGTGTTTTTTGGTTGTTTTGCTAGCAAAAGTAGATGGCGATTCCTGGTTTACCTGGTGGTTTAATCATTTGACACCTAAGCCCTTGGCGTGGTTGTCATGGCCGCCCCTCGGGTTTTGTGAAGGGGCAGGCGGGTGATCCGAATTTCATGTACGGGATCTAGATTCCCTTGGTTGGCAAGATTTGGTGATTGGAAACGCCGAGCGGGGCCAAGTGGCTGGATCATTGGTTCCGACATGGTGGCCGGGGCCGCTTGATGTGGGTAGCAACTAAGAATAATCGTACCCATGCTAAGCCTGGCAAGTATAGAGCAAGTCATCACAAGTTTCCACTGGCCGCAGCTATCACATGAAGTTGAGGTTCGAGCGCCTGGGAAAGCCGGGCGAGGAGAGCTCAAATGGATTCAACAACGCAGGCGCGCATCGAGAGATGTAAATCCAAGCGATTGCTCAAATTGCCTGCGCGGCCCGGAATCGCGAAGTTTGCGGGCGGCTGGGGTCGAGCAACCAAGAGTTTTTGGCGCTTACCCGTGCTTACTACAGCTTGTCAGTGCTCAATCGCATTGCCCCACAGAGTCCTTCCATGCCAGTGTTCGGGACGCTTCCCCACGCGTGCGAGTTTGATATAGTTTGATGGCTTGGACAGCTATTGGTACTTGGCAGGCACTGGCCATTCTGGCTACATGGAGCCCAACTATACCAAGGACCAGGGTTTCCATGGCTTGTAATTAAATAGCCATTTCACTGGAGGCATGGAGATTATTTTTCGCACAAAGTCGGCTCAACTTGTCCGGACTTAGGCCTTTTGGATATGTTGCTTTTTGGGTTTCCCATGTCGGGTTGCTTCTTGGACAGCCCAATGTTGCGCCACAAAGGTTCTGATTTGCATGCTGTTTTTGGAATGGTGGCCAGTTGTTGGTTATGAAGCAGCTAAAGAGAAACAGACTGCGCCTTGTAAGAAGAAGCGAGTCGGCCAAAGCTCGGTTCTCATTCAACAAATGGATATTGATACCAATGCTCTTTTTTTAAAGAAAGCAATTCCCGCACATTTGTCAATTTGTCGGCATAGCAAGTGCCCATTTGCAGACATACCGCGTGTTGAGCTGGGAGGGGCTTCTGCTTCACAATTGGTCGTGCCCGAGCTTGAGCATTGCAATGCGCAGAGATGGCCTGGAGAAGGCTGCAAGCCTGGCAGGAGGTGAAGAACCAAGACGGCAGCCTGAAGACGGTGACCACGGACAAGGCCAGACAGTTTCGGGCCAGGCAGCTTGAGTTTCCTTATGCAAGTTCTCTTTGCAGGGCAATCAGTGGCTGGTGTGTCGCAATCAGTCCCATCGAGCATCAGCAACTTCACACGAAGATTGCTTACCATTGCATGTGCTTGTAACCCAACAGCAGGCAGTTGGAGGGGTTTGCCGAGCCTAAATTCTTTGCCAAGTCAAAGCACAAGCTGGATCTTGGGATGCACAGGCGCCTCAACTAACAAGGTTTGGGCCTAGTACAGGCCAGGGGCATGTATTATGTCGTTTCACTCTTGCGCAACAGCACACGATGAAGCCTGCTTGCCTTGAGAGCAGCCACATAGCAAGGTGTCCGCAGGCATTCCCAAAGCAAGATGATATCACTTGCCGATGCAAACTTTTGACATGCATGCCCATGCAGGACTTGTCATGCATAGGTTGTGAAGGTGCAGTTCAGCAAGCCCCCTAAAGCAGTGCTTGGTTTTATCTCCCGCCAGCTGCAGGTGGAGCACGTGTGTGAGCAGTTCCTTTCAAGTCGCCAGTACTGGGAGCAACTTTGCCGCAAGTTACCTAGTTGCCTACACTTTGTGTGGCAGGGCGCCCACCAAAAGCTCGGATCAGTTCTGTGAGCCGTGTGACTTGGGAATTGGCTTGACACCAATCATCAGCATGTTTAACACGTGTTCCCTTGCTTTCTCTCGAGGCGGGGTTTGAACGAGCACTCGGTTGTTGACGAATTGAACCAAACCTAAGTAAACACTAAACCTACCCAAACAACCCCTGAACCAGCCTGGGACCAACCCGAAACGAACCCTAAGCCAGCTAAACCTAACCACAGGTACGTCACGCGGGGAGGGCGGGGGGGGGGGGTTGACACATGCCCACTAGGGGGGGGCTGCCAACGCTGTGCCTTGGTTAAGTCAATGTGTTCCTGTTGTTTGCTTCTTTGTTTGCTTGGTTGATGGGTTAGTTGGTTCGTTTGTTCGTTTGTTTTTTTTTTTTCTTCCCCGAGGTACCTCACCAAGAAGGGCTACCTGCCCGCCCCTGAGAGCTGGATCCACCACACGGACCACATCGCCCTGGGCGTGGGCAAGGACCAGGTGGAGTTCATCAAGAAGCGCTACGAGGCGTGCGCTTCGTTCCGCGCTCGGGCGGCTCCAGTGCCCCAACGCGCCGCGAGTATCGAGTTTGGGTGTGCCCTTTCCTGAAAGGACACCCGTTTGGATGTCGCAGATAAAGCAGCAAGAAGAGGGTACCCTCAAAAAACAGACCCATTACCCATTCAGCGTCCAGTAGGGGCCTTTGCCTAAAACCATGTGTATTTGCGTTGATGATATCACTTTAATGGACCCAGTTTGGCTCCAGTTGGGTTCTATTGCTCATTGGAGTGATTTAAACATGGCAGGCCCTTTTTTTCTCAATGAAAACCACTGCTTGTGGCTTTATCAGCTTTTGACAGCTACTTGTAATTTCACTAATTGTTTTAACCGACTGCGCATTCCCTGTGAAAGCGTTGACAAAGTGTTGACAACATGCGCCACTGGGTTGTTCCGTCCTAGTTTTAACTTTGGCAACCAGTGTTAGTCAGCCGTACCCTTCCGCGTTTGTCCTGCTCCCCAAACATGTACAAACCCTCCTTTTGGAAATCTTGAGTCACGGAAACCGATGCTTCATGCCCCGTCTTATTTTGCAATTGGTCGGGCCATTTCGTTGAATTGCCGCATGTTAGGTTAATAGACCCACCCAGTGGGGCACTGCAAGGTGACAGGATCAAATTAGCAGGTCTGGTTCATCTACAAAATGTTGGCATCTACAATCACGTTTTGTGGAGAGTCCCCCAGAAGGGAGAGTCCCCGCTTGCTCCGCGCGTGTTCAAACAAGCGCGCTGTCAAGTTCTGAGAGGCTGGGCTTCTGCACTCCCCTGTCAGGCGCGCAGGCTTTCAGCGGACCGCTTCAGGTTTTGCCCACTGGACCTCACCCTTTTTTGTTCTTGGCTCGCCTCTGTAGCGGTAGGCCATGAAGAGCAACCCGCTCTTCAGCACCATGGAGATTTGCCTGCCAGAGGACCCTGGGAAGCCTGTGGTGCTTGTAAGCATCTTGCTTTCTCTTTGCCTTGAAATGGCCAGGTGCTGCCATGATAGCCTTTGCAACCCGTTGAGTTGGTTGGGCAGGTGAGTTGTTGTCTAGGGCCACTCCGAGCCAAGACAACTTTCCGGGCCGGGCAGACGAATAGGTTGGTCTTGTTTTCGGAGCGAGGGTTTATTTTGAAAGCTTGGCGAGCAGCCTGTGCTTTCTGTTTCTCCTGGCCGCGTGGGTGTAGGTGTGGGTGTGGGCAGCGGAGTTTGGCTGAATGCCTGATGGTTGAGGATGTAGTTGGCGTGTTGGCCCTTTGCCACCGGTAGTTAGAGAGGGGGGTTGTTTCCTTTGGTTTGTCTCAACTGGTTTCAGCCCTGTCTTGTAATGCCCGCGACTCGTTCTTGCGAGTGAATTGCCAAAGAGTTCCTCCCTATTGAGGACATACCACGCGACAGTGACTGGCAACGGGTTCATGTCGCGGTCTTCAAAGCACTTTCCCTGCTTGGCGCAATTGCTGTCAGTGTCTCAAACTGCAGGGCTTGAGGTGAACGACACCTGGTGCAACGCTTTGCGCATATTTCAGGGCTGCCCGCCCCTCTCCCCCCCTAGTGCCAAGCATCGCCCAATGTTCTCAAGCAGGCTTCGATACCACTGTTGGATCGACACCAAACCAACATTCTAGCTCTAGGTTGCTCCAAGTCAACATATCAGCCAATTTCTGCCTAGCCTTTTATCTAGCTCGCTCATCTGCTGTCATCCCCAGTCATCCCAAGCTAGGAATTCGAAACTGTCCCGGGGTGCAATCGAGCCCTCGAAGCTGCGTTTGGTCAAACAGTCTGACTTGCCATTGCCAGCCATCTGAGGGGGGTCGGCGGATTTGGAACTGAGCGAGCGAGAGGGATGTCGAGAGTTGCAGTGCATTGGTCATGCGCTCAGACGATTGATCCGGAGAAAGAAACGCTTGTGAGGGTACCCTTTGCAGTCAAGTACAGTCCTGTTGCCACAGTGTTTGAATGAGCAGGAGTGCACCACAGGCGCTTTTTACAGGTTTTTAGACGCAGTCATAGCAGTTTCATAGCCGCTCAGGAGGGTAACGTTGCAATTCGTTGCCAGACTTTGGTGTTTGTGTTTTTTGTTTTTCCCTACGCTTCTATGATCATCACATTGCCCAGTACACATTTGAATGCTTCCAGGGAACATCGCCCGCTTGCCTTGGTTTCTTTGACTTGCGAGTTGTTTCTGGAAGGGGGTTGCCCCAAAGGCCGTGATGGTCAGTTGGGGTCGTATGACTCAAGCAGCTGAGGTTCGGGAAGCCAGAGGAACATATTAATATGGCTGGACATTCACGTGTCTTCAGGGCGATGTTTGACGAGCATATATGAATACATAGTAACCCTGAGCTGTGGAGCAGGAGAAAGAGAAGGCGAAGCAGTGGGCTCCTTTGATCGTTGCCGGCCGTGATCCCAGTGAGCCAATTTGTATGACAAAGGCAGGGCACAGCAGATGTGGAGGGTGCACGCAGACCCTGTCACATTGCTCAGTGTATATTGGCTCGGGGCAGGTATGAAGGGGGGGGGCCCGGGGGGGCTTGAAGATTTAGATGCCTACTCTACTCTGTTAGGCTTGTACAAGGCAATGGTCGGAACTGCAAACGGCAAGAAATCCCTTGCAGATGCTTGACTCTGAATCGTCAAGACGGTCATGAGCAAACCTTAGCAGCTTCCGTCCCCAGACTAGGTAGGGTTGCATTGTGCAGGTCAAACTTGCTCTCTTTTTGGTGCATCCCCTGGACAAGCTTGGGCTTGCTCTGGGCAGATTGCACCTCGACTCGGCAAGTCACCAAAGATGGGGTTTGCCATATGACGAATCAAATTGCTCGGGGAGAGCAGGTGTCGATGATCCGCAGGTGCCCCATGGAACAGATGTGGACTATGGCGCCCTGACCAAGTCCAAGATCACGGCAGCTCGGATGTGTTGCCCGCGCAAAGCCTGGAAAGGAGCCGTGTCGAGCCAAGTATCCAAAAACAGTGGCAGAAATGAGTTTGTTCCTCCAGATAGCTGCATGTGTCCACTGAATGAGTTTGCAGCTTACGGAAACAGCGGAGTAAAAGGGACTACAACACCTGCTTTGCCTTCACTGTTCTTGGCATGTTTTGTTTTTTTTGGTTTTTTGGTTCTGTTCACTATTACTGGGGGTCTGCAAAAAACAAAGTTTTTTGCTACCATACCAAGAGTAGAGATGTTGCGTGTGCGTCGTTCTGTTTTGGGCGGCGCGGGTCATAGAGATCACAGCCGCAGCGGCTGACCTTCAAAATGCGTACCTGAAGGTGCGGCCGACCTCAAAGAGCACACTGCCTTCCCCTCCCGCCAGTTGAAGTGGAACCTGAGAGAGAAATGGTCCCTTTATATAAAAGGAAAATGGTTTTGCAGGACCCCCCCGTCAGGTTCCATGTTAATTGGTGGGAGGGTAATGGCAGTACAGATGAAAGTTGGATAGCCAATCGTTGTGCCACTACTGGTCGGCTTCATTTCGTAGCGATTGCCAATGTATGCCAAAACCAGCAGCGAGAAGCAACACATTTGTTGCCACAAGTTGTGTAAGCTCATAAAATGGTATCTCTCTTGAAGGGGGAAGAGGGCCTCCGAAACAGGGCCCCCCAAAACTAGTATGTTCAAAGCCTTGTGCATCTGGAATTGCAAACAGGGCTCAACATGTTGCATGCAACACGTGATTGCCTGCGTTTCTTTTCGTAGTGTTGACACCTCCACCGCGTTCCATTGCTTGGACTCAAATGCGGGGCCGGCGGGGGGGGGGGGGGTCTCAGGGGGCGAATGAGGCATTTCAGCACCTGGGCGGCGATTTGCGACTTCACACCGAAGTCACCGATTTGAAGAAGAAGGACGTTGCAAGATTATGGTGACCCCCATTGACCCGATTTGTGCAACCAACCCGTGTACAACTACGGTAACCAACCCAGTTTATCAATAGGGGACCCCAGATCAATCAACCAACCAGTTTATTAGTAGGGGGTGGGGGGGGGTGGGGGAAAAGCCTCCAGAAGTGATTAATATGGGGTCAACATTAGTCCGACAGTCAGTGGCAAGTGCAAGTTCAAGGCATGTTGTGTTGCTCAAGTGCCATGCTTGAGTCACCAAGATTCAGACGAGTGAATGGTGGCGATGCGCATCCGCTAGATTTTAGACGCAATCATTATACTGCTATGTTGGCTGCTGCCCCTTGTTTCACCTATATCCAGGTAACCTATAATTAGTGTAAGCGTCAGGTTTTTATCCCATCTTCAGATGGGCATGGATTGAGCATGTGGAGTGAGTTTAGCAGGGCATGCCAGCAGCTCAGCTAAGAGTCTTGTGCACTCGTGTGCCAGGACGGCAAGTGGGTGGTGACCACCAAAGTCAATGGCGCTGGCTCCGGATGGGCCTACAATAAGGCAGAAGCTTGGCTTCTTGGTGATGCTTGGTGGCTTAAGAATGTGACGCTCCAATTTGCCGGTGAAACCTAGGGGGGGAGGCAACCGTGATTTATGGCTCGAAGCGTTGGACTTGTTGACATTTGTGCATGCGCAGGTATTGTGTGTGTGATGCTTGCGTCGGGAATGCAAGCAAGAGAGAATCTGGTCATGTGACATGGGAACAAAGCTGACTGTTGAGGGGGCCTGCTAGCATGGCTGTGTGTGTGTGTGCTACACTTGGGAATTGTCTCGAATGGTCGGCGTTCCTTTTGGTGTTCTTTTGGAAAAGGCACGGTGCTAACTGGCGCAGGCGAAGTTTGTGTTTGTGGGTGCGGGCGGCTGGGCGCTTCTCATGCTGCAAAAGGCAGGCATCCCGGAGGTGAGGGGTTGCTTGGCTGCAGACCGTATGGCCCAAAATACTCCAGCAATGAAGAGGGCGAGGCTAGCTTCAGGAACTTATTATAATGTTGACCTACGATTAGTAAAATGACCCTAAATAATGCTAACTGGCTGCCCCAATCCAAGAATAAAATGACCCTAAATAATGCTAACGGTTTTCCCCAAGTGAAAAAAATGAAAAGATGACAAAATATTATAAACTAACTCAAAAAATTGACCTTCCCCCCACCTACATGAACGAAGACTCAGTTTCCCAGCTCACCAAGGAACTCTAGAATTCCCATATTGGAATCCATGCAAAATGCAGAGTTTTATTCAGGGTCAGTGCTCCCAACCCTCATCCCCCACAAGATTTGCATGGTTTTCATAGAACATGTTTCAGGGATCATGCCCGGGAAACCTGATTTACCAGGGGATTTGCATGCTTTTGGCATCTAATATTTATTCAGGGTCAGTGCTCCAAACCATCATCCCCCATGGGATGTGCATGGGTTTTCATAGAACATGTATCCAGGGAAACCTGATTTACCATAGAATTTGCATGCTTTTGGCATCTAATCTAATCTTTATTCAGGGGTCAGTGCTCCAAACTGTTTTTTGCATGGGATTTGCATGGCTTCATAGTGAATTTATCTCGGGATCATGCAAGAAAAACCTGATTTACCAGGGGATTTGCATGCTTTTGGCACGGTTTGTTATTCAGGGTCAGTGCTCCCAACCCTCATCTTTCATGGGATTTGCATGTTTTCACTTTGACCATGGCAGCAAGCGTATCCCCCATGAACCCTGATGCACTAAATAATAACCAGACCCTGAATAATGCTAACCAGATTCCAAAATATGATCCCTCCAATTATCTACATTTGATTCAGCAAGTTCAATCCATGAATCATCGCTCAATGATGACACGGCAATGCTGGCCAAGCTATTGGTCACTGAACCCCAAGGAAATTCATGCAAAAGTTGTTGGCCCAATACTACTTTAGAAATGGCCCAACACTAAATAAGAATCCACCCCAAACAAAATAAGAAACACATGCCCAATACTACTTTTGAATTGGCCCATGCAAACCCTCTTGGAATCGCTCTTGGAATCCCTCTTGGAATGCATGCCTGCCCATGCAAACCCCCATGAATTTCCTTCCCAATCGTTCCTGGAATGCATGCCAGCCCATGCAAACCCTCATGAATGTCCTTCTCAATCCCTCCTAGAATGCATGCCAGCCCATGCAAACCCTCATGAATGTCCTTCTCAATCCCTCCTAGAATGCATGCCAGCCGATGCAAACCCTCATGAATTTCCTTCCCAATCCCTCCTGGAATGCATGCCAGCCCATGCAAACCCTCATGAATTTCCTTCTCAATCCCAGCCCATGCAAACCCTCATGAATGTCCTTCTTAATCCCTCCTAGAATGCATGCCAGCCCATGCGGACCCTCATGAATGTCCTTTTCAATCCCTCCTGGAATGCATGCCAGCCCATGGAAACCCTCATGAATGTCCTTTTCAATCCCGCCTGGAATGCATGCCAGCCCATGCAAACCCTCATGAATGTCCTTCTCAATCCCTCCTAGAATGCATGCCAGCCCATGCAAACCCTCATGAATTTCCTTCCCAATCCCTCCTGGAATGCATGCCAGCCCATGCAAACCCTCATGAATTTCCTTCTCAATCCCAGCCCATGCCAGCCCATGCGGACCCTCATGAATGTCCTTTTCAATCCCTCCTGGAATGCATGCCAGCCCATGGAAACCCTCAAGAATTTCCTTCTCAATCCCAGCCCATGCAAACCCTCATGAATTTCCTTCTCAATCCCTCCTAGAATGCATGCCAGCCCATGCAAACCCTCATGAAATGCATGCAAATGTTCTTGGCTCAATACTACTTTAGAATTGGCCCAATTCTAAACTAGTATTCCCCCAAAGCAAATACGAAAAAGCAACATGCCCAATACTACTTTTGAATTGGCCCAATTCTAAAGTAGTATTCGAAAACGAAAAAACAGAGCCCACTACTACACTCCTTTAAACAAATCCCGACCCTGAAATTCTCCCCCTAATCTTTATTTAGGGTCATTCAGGGGGGGGCCATTTATTAATCATCGGTCAACATTATATCTTTGGGCGGGGGCTCGGGGGTGTACTTGTTCGAATTGATTCCGAAGACGGACCTGCCGGCAACAAAAAGCAAGGGTTTGATTCTTCCCTGGTACCAAGCAAATCTGTGGTTTGATATCGACACCTATCTACACCTTTGTGCCTAGGTTTTTGCAAAAAGGCCTACTTTGGGTTTTGTCTTAATGGATTTCTGGGTGTCCACTTATGGTTGCTACTTGGAAAGGCTGCATTATGTTGAGGTCGCTGTTCAGGTTGGCGGGTGAATTTGCCCACACTTTGTCAGGGTGTTCAATGCCTTGTACATGACGCTTCCGTACTTGGAATCTTCATGTCATGGTTCGTATGTAGCGGATTGCTAGTGTTACGCTGATAGAAGGCAGAGCCCGCTTAGCTCTTTGGGCTTGTGACAACGGAGCCCGAGTAGAATCTCTCACGCAAAAAACTGTTTAGAATCAGAAGCTGGTTGGATTCCTCAAGTTTCCTTCGGAGAAATCGTGAGCGCACGCCTAGGTCACTTCAGAAACCAAGAGCTGTAGGGGCGCATATCTCTCCCAACTGGGCGCACGTTTTAGCCCTGCGATCCCCGCGTGCAGGAGCCGTAGGTCCTAGAGGATTACGTATCCCCACTTCATGGCTGCAGGGGCATTTGGTTCCAATCTAATGAGCCGGCTGCTGCAAGTTCCTTCCATTGTTCCAAAGGGAGTGCCAAGACACCTGTTCGACCTTCTGACTTTCCACGTTTTGCCCATGTGCAGTCATGGCCCCGCAAAGGTTAACCTTTGAACTCCGGGTGCGGTGAGCATTTGTTCCAGCTTGAGCTATGCATTAAATCAGGGGAGTGGGGGATGTGAGGCTACATGGCCCTCCCGGTGACTGGCGACTGGGCGATCTGCCAGAACCCGGAGGCCGTCGGCACAAAGGGGCAGTTTGGATACGCAGAAGCAGGGAGCAGAATCCAATCCTCCATTCGGAATTGGAGCAAGGTCTTCAAATGGGTGTGTGGGTGTCGTTTTGTTTGTTGTTTCTTCTTTTTTTCGGGGACCCCAAAAACGGGCTTCCCTTTGAAGCCAAGAACAAAACATAATGTACCCTCAAAAAGCAGAGACCTCCAACTGGCAGCAGCGGGGTGTTGAGGTGGTGACCAAGCACAAGGTCAAGGTCTATGCGCCGGGTGCCCCCGGAGCGCCGCCCATGTCCATGCCGCACTTGGACTACCGCACCATCGGCGGAAAGGACGGGTTTCGGACCGGGCAGTCCGCATTGCGGAGTGCGGAGTGCGGAGTTGGGACGGCAGGTGGGTCGAAGAAGCATCCGAGGAATCGCGGACAGGCTTGTCGGGTTTAGCTTAGCATGACTTTGATTCCTTTCAAGGCTGAGCCACGGATTTGATGAGGCAGGGTCTACCAAATGCCAATTGGCCGATCTGGATGGCCTTGACAAGTCGTCAAGCCGTGAGTCCAGTTTGGTTCCGCTGGACCATCGTGTTTGTTGTGGGTGTTGGTTAAGTGGGCAGCTGGAAGAAGCAGAGCACCTCCCCAAAGCTTGCAAGAGAGAACTGGCGCATCATGCTGAAGCTGAAAGATTGCGGTTGTACGCCGTGGGCCCGCTCGACAAGGTCTGTCTTTTTTTGGAGACCCCTCAGAATGGTGGTGTTCCTTTGGTTTTGTCTTTTCAAACCGCCAAAAACAACTGTGCCTTGAAAAAGACACACCCAAGGGAAGCGAACTGCCAGGAGGTTCTGCTGTTCGGACCTTTCGGGTCCATGACCATGAAGTTCCTGCGCTACGGCTCCATCACCGACGCCTTCAAGGCGCCTTTCTCCAAAGGACCCCACGGTTTGGGTGAAGAAACGCGGGAAGGAGGTCAAAACCCACCAAGGGTTTGATGTCACGCGGCTTTTGCCCTGGCAAACTTTTTTTGGCCTTTGGCGCTGAGCCTCAATTTTCGAGGCTTTGAAGCCCCACAACCTTCTGCCCACTATCGGGGCGCTCTCCAAGAACATGAGCCTGGCCGTCATGCTCATGAAGGACGTTTTCAAGAGCTCTATGGGCAAGCTCTACGACATTAAGCAGCTTCGAGTGAACAGATGGGAACCCCTGCTGGCCTGATGTTGCTTTCCCAAACTGACGCTGTATTATTTTGCTGTTTGGTGACTTAGGCCGATTATATTCATCGCCGGTTGGGCTTATGAATGTTTCTGTTGTCCGCTGGGCCCCATCAATGCTTTTGGTAATCCTGCATCAGACCAAGGACTGCACACTTAAAATGATGCCTTGTTGGATGCCGAATACGTTAGAAGTATGCAAGGTATTAATCCTGGTGCACTTTGTGTGGTGCAGGATTCGCAGGACCCCAAAAAACCAAGGCTGGTTTAGCCCTTCTGCAAATGATCCTGAAGTGGGATGTACAAAAACCTACCAGAGCTTGATGTAATTGAAAGGCTGACGAATGTACGCTTTGGCAGGCATTATTACCCAGAGGCTGATCCTGACGACTGGGTCTTCATCCCAGCAGGAGTGCGGGCCCAGATTATCAAGAAGGATCCCAAGACTGGCTCCTCTGCAAGCATTGGAAGATTGCAATCTTGGATGGGTTCCTTGGGGTTCTTAGATCATTTTGAGGGAGAAAGCAACTAGAGAAATGAAGGGAGTGCAACCCCCAATTGTTGCTATAGCGACAGGTCGGGGCGTACTGGCGAGGCCTCGAACATCTACGTGTTGTAGAATTGTTAATAGAATCTTGATGGCATCATGTGCATGACTCGTTGGCATTGCACCTTCCACAGCATTTTGCTGTTTCATATTGTTTGTTTCTCGATTTCCGGGAGGGTGGACGTGTCTGGGGCCAACAAGTTGATGAATCAACCCTTTCGGCAGGCGGAACGGCGCTGCATGCGTTCAGTTCAGGCACTGTCCAATGTCCAAAGCGTTTGCAGAACCATTGCACTAGGGTTGGTGCACTTGATTGGCGGTATGGCACAGACCCTTGCTTTTTCTCATTCGGGTGAGGGGAGCGTTTGGGTTGGATGTGTCTCCTGAGTGAGGCAAACATGTGTGGGATGTTCTCTTCATCAGTCTGGTGTGTTGGTTCCATCAGGCGCAACTACCCAAAGCTGAAACCATCACTCAACGGTCCGAGTTGGTTTTTCTCGTGAGGGTGCCGATGCTTGCTGTTAAAACACCGCCCCGGATCAAACCTCCCCTTGTGATGTTGACAGCCCGAAGGGGAGATGGGAAGTCCCTGCGGCCGCCAGAAGCTGGCAGTTTACAGCCAGTGGGGCACATACTGTGGACAAGCTCCTGCACCAGTTGGGATGAAGCCCTACGCATGGGAACCACCACCACCATATGAAGCCCTATGAATGGCAGGTGCAACCAAAATAGCCAAGAAGTCGAGTCATGTCCATTCACCAGCCTTTCGGCGGCCTGAGGCAAGGGCATGCTGCAGTTCGGCACGGAGGTGGTCACCGGGGAGTCGGGCACCATCTGCGGCTTGCTGGGTGCCAGCCCCGGCGCCTCCACCTGCGTCTCCATCGCCCTGGACGTGATCGAGTGAATGCCTCAGAACTTGTGCCGCCGGATTGGCCCGGAGTTGTCCTAAAGGGACCCGAATGCTGAACGGTCCCATGCTGATTGGGAGGGCAAAGTTTTTGTGAGTAAGGGGTGGATGTTGGCGCGTGCTCGCGATGTGCCTTTCAGCGGCTTGTGAACAAATCCAAAAAGACCAACGCGCTCAACTCGTGGTTTCTTGTGTTCAAGCAACCCAGGAACAGGCAGCAGATTGGTGGATCAGACGAGGCCAGGAAGCCCTTGATCAGGCCTCCCTGGCCCTTTGTTTGTCGTAGTCTTTGGCGGGACTGCAAAACGCTATATACCTGACCAGCACTCTTGACTAGTATGGCTGCCCCTGGGCCGCTTTCCTCTCCAAACTGTTCCCTGGAGTGTTCCTCAATTGTGGTTCCCTCACTGTTCCCCTTCCCTTCTTGGTGACAAAAGCAAGCTGCGGCTCACGCTCAGGAAGTGCTTCGGCAACAAGCCGGAGTACCCGAAGTGGAGCACGAAGCTTAAGGACGGCTCGACCGGCCAGTTCGACGTCGCCCGGAAGAGGCAATCATTCTGAGAGGCAGTACTTCTGGAACTCCCTTGACAGTTGGATGGGAATCCATTGCTTGTGAGTGGGTGCAAGTGCGGAATCGGCACAGGGCCTAGGGCTTTCATCCAAGGATCTCATTGAGAGAGCCGTGTTCTCGATGCCCGTGAAGCTGGTTTCGTCCTTTCAATGTGTTTGCGGACTGACATGTTGAACCATTCAGCATTGGCTCCTGGATTTCTTCCAGGCTTCTTCTGACATGATTTTCATCGGGGGCAATTCCTCCACGTAGGGCCTGAGACCAGTTCCAGTGTTGCCTTTCTTTCCATTTGTTGATGCTCAGGGGGCTTTGCCAGAGTACCCCATGACTTCGGTAGAATGGTTGAAAAAGAACTGGCCAAATGACCGGCCTTGTGCTCGGGGCCTTGTGCTCAGGAGATGATCCCCAGCTGGTCCGCGGACGTTGCCGCTGGGGATATGAAGAAGGTGACCCCCGAGGTCGTCGACAGGCGCAGCCGCGCACGTCGCTGTGCCAACGCCTGCGCGGTGGCTGTCCTTTTGGGCCCTTAAGGCGGCACAACATGTGCCAAGAGTCCCAAATTGGGCATCTATGTTTAATAGCCTCCAAAGGGTCTGGCTGTTGGCCTGCGTATAGAAGGGATTTGTTTTTCTTTTGTTTGATGCAAGGGGGGGAAGGAAGGGTTTGGTCCAGGCGTGGTTGTTTGTGCTGGGAGGGAACAAGGGCCGGAAAAGATTCTGGAAGAACCAGGCAAAAACCATTGTCCCAATCTGGATTTGGTCTGTGTAGAAGAGGGCGGATTATGGGTGCACCTTGCGGGTGGAATCCCTTGTGCCTGCGCATATAACGAGAAGACGGGACCACATCAGATATATTTGTCTATGTTCGCACAGAGGCTCATTCGTTCTGGTTGCCTCCCACCCTCCAACCTTGCATACCCTCCCTTCGCTGCAACCCCGCAACCCCCAAACAACATGTTCATGGAGAAATATTTGGCACATCTTCGCTGGCCACTGGGTTCCCCAAAATTTGGAGCTTGCCATGGCTACATGCCCGTGGCCAACCAACCCCTTTCTGAGCCCCAATCCGCAGGCGATGTGTCCTTGCCCTTCGAATGTGTTCGTTTCCGGTACTTGGCTTTCGCCAGGATTTACAAGTCCACCGGCTCCACTCTCAAGATCGCCAAGTAGTCGGCGCATTTTGAGTTTCACTGGCCTGCCCAACAGATAAGCAGGTGGGTGGGATGTTGCCGGCCTTGCGTTTTGTGAGTTGTAATACGCTGTTTCCTGCGTCAGGGGCGAAGGCCCCAGGCATCTCATGGTTGATTTGCAGGTGGTTGGCCCGGACCCCACCCAGAGGAAAGCGCAGCACCGGCTGCAGAGATTACCCCAGAGCCTCTGGGCCGATCAAGTGCGGTGACTGGGGGCCCGTCACGTCCCTGGCAGGGCTGTGACTGTGGGGTCGCCAGCTTTTATATCCTCCGGCTGGACCACCGGCGTCTGTGCGCTACAAGGTCGTTTCACAGCTTGTCATGAGAAATCGGTGTTTACATCAGTCATGGCGTCATGGATTGAACATGTTCCAGGAAAGCGTGAGCACGCTTTGACGATCTGAAGTGTGATGTTTCAATGAGTCAAGCCGGTTACATCACAAAGAGCTTTTGGGTAGCGATGAGATGCGGATGATGCGGATAAGTTCGCAGCAAGTAGCTGCAAGCCGCGGCACAGAATATTTTCCTGTGGCCAGCCGATCGATTTCAATTCAAAGGGAACAGTCAGTTTTGACCGAGGCCAGCAAAAAAAGGAGTTGATGCTTGGCTGCGTGCACTGCAGGTGCCATCTTGAAGAAGAATAATGTGCAATTCAGCTGAGCTGACTGCAACAGTACTGTAGCGCAGTTGGAGCAGGAGTTGCAAGCAATGCCGTCGGCACTTTCAAAGTTCCACCACTTTTCACAAGCGAATTTGGTCGGAATCCATTCACCTTGCATTGAGCAGTGTGCCCAAGCATTGCGGCTGCCCTTCTTGGCACATTCTCGGATCAAAGCGCCAGAAGCAGCCCGGTTGTACTACCCAGATTGTTTGCATGCCCGTACCCCTCACCCTATTCTGACATACAACCTCACAGGGCGTTGCAAAGCATTGAATCGCCGTTCAAGGGCTAGTACTGCAGGGGCTCTCCATTTGCAGGGATGATCTGTTTCAGATTGGTTGCCCAACGCGAGGTTTCACATTGGCCCTGCCAGGAAAGAGTGAGGTATGAGGAAGAGAAGGGGCAGGCTGAGGACTGTCACGATGAGATCATCATTTTTGGACCTTTGCCTTCATTGTCGTTTCGCCAAAGCCTTGCAGCGACTGCACAGCCTGGATCGAAGTCTGCTCGTTTTCCATGGGGCTTGAGATAGGCCCCATGCCTTGCCCACAGACTCCGAATCAGTGACTCGAAATGGGGCCGCCTCCCGGTACGGCACATGCCGTGCACAGAATTCCACAGGAAGCTGTCCATTTGGAGGCTTCCTCAAGGCACACTGATTCGTCAGGAGAGGTTGGAAAGAGCCAAGCAAGAGGCCAGGCAGCCGCGAATCCGGGCTGTGTTATTTTGTGACGTGGGATGTCTATTGTTGGTTTGGTCAGGGAAAAGATCCAAGAAATCGGATTGCAACAAGATAAATTCTACAGTGAGAAAGCAACCTTGGGCGCGATGCCATTTAGCCTGCTCCAGGGAGTGAACATTCAGCAAAATGAGAACCATACATCTGTAAGTAGCGACAGACAGAGAGAGATACATAAACAAATACATACCAGGCTACCATATACAAACACATAGATACATGCATACATACACACGTACGCACATACACACATACATACATACGTACGTACGTACGTACGTACAGACGTACGTACATGCATGCATACATACATACATACATACATGCATACATACATACATACATACACACATAGATACATGCACACACACACACACACACACATACATACATACATACATACATACATACATACAGCCATACACACACAGACATACACACACATACATACATACAGGCAGACAGAACAGACAGACAGACCTACATACACACATACATACATACATACATACATACATACGTACCCACATACGTGCCCACATACGTACATACGTACCCACATACATACATACGTGCATACGTACATACACACATACATACATGCATGCATGCATGCATGCATGCATACATACATACATACATACATACATATATACATACATACAGTACAGACACACACACATACATACATACCTACATACATACAAACATACACACATACATACATACATACATACATACATACATACGTACATGCATGCATACATAGATACATACATACATACATACATACGTACGTCCATGCATACATACATAGATGCATGCATACATACACACGTACATAGATACATACATACATACATGCACACACACACACACACATACACACGCATACACACACATACATACATACATACATGCATGCATGCATGCATGCATGCATGCATGCATACATAAATATGCATATATATATATATATGTGTGTGTGTATGTATTTTTCTGGGGATGCTTTGATCCTCGCAAGGCAAAGGCGGAGGCCGCCGCTGCTGCCGAGAAGGCTGCTGAGAACGCGAAGCCCGCGGCCCCGGCGGCGGGGGAAACGGTCACGGCCGGGAATGGCGCGACCAACGCGGAAAAGGGCGCGGCCATCGCGGACGAGACGTGGCAGGATATGCGTCAGGCCTCCTTGGAGGAGGCGCGGTGGTCTGGAGATGTCTGGAGGCTTTGACGTGTGAATGCATGTCATGCTGATCATCCCACTCTTCCGGGGAAAGCTCCGGATTTTCGCTACAAGGGTTGTGAATCAGAGCTTTCCATGAGGGAGTTGACGTTGGCATCGCGGAGCCTTACCCATGCAATCAGTGGATAGTGTTTGCCTTAGAACAAGCGTTGCTTTCACCGGGAAAGATGAGGGTGAGGGCTTGAGTTTGACGGCTTTGCTAAGCCAAACGTGTTGTAGCAATGTAGGCCTGGCATGATACTATGAGATCCCTTTTGAGGCGAATAATTTGTTAAGCGCTGGCAAGACAAGCTGTTCCAGGATGTGGCTTTATGCTTTTCACTTGCATTGAGTGCAGAGTGCCAGGTGAAAGCCGAGTTGGTGAAAGCCCGGGGCCAGGTGTTCAAGATCCACCACGAGAAGGACAGACGAAAACTCGAACCCTGCCTCCTTGCCATCTCAGTAACAAACATTGAGTAAGACACGGAGAGAGAGAGAGAGAGAGAGAGAGAGAGAGAGAGAGAGAGAGAGAGTGAGAGTGAGAGAGAGAGAGAGAGAGCGAGAGAAAGAATCCGAGCAGCTCTTAAAACCCCCCGTTACATCCCATGCAGGAGTTGTGTCACAACAAGGCCCCGCGTAAGCAAAACCCTGCACGGCGTAAGCCGACGAAAGCACTTTATGAGGAAACATGCTGCGTAAGCACCTGCGTAAGGTCTTCTTCGTGATTGCCTGGTAAGCTTTGTAAGCATGCTCGCAAGAGTTGTGTTTATGTGTTTATTGGTGGCTTGTGCTGTTGCAACCTAGTCGAGCTTGGCAACTTGCCCAGAGACTTTGGCTGCAGGAAGACGTCTAAGACCGCATGTGCACACTGCTAGAAAATAAAACCAGAAGAACCTTGCTTGGGAGCTCTTGGGGATCATGCTAGGTGCCGTTGCAACCTTTACTAGGACAAAGAAAGGCTTCTGAAACCGCTGATCTAGGAAAGCTAAAGGGGCTCAGGCGCGTAAGCTCGCGTAAGCAGGCGCGTAAGGTTCGCGTAAGCTCGCCCAGCAGGGCTGCCCGCTAGCCCTCGCGATGGATTCCGCTGGCGCATGACCCGTTTCTTGACTTGCAGCAAGAACAACAATGCCAAGCCGCTGCAATTCGTGAGGGTAGTTCTTCGTCATCATCTTCCTCATAGTCACCCACATCATCTTGAGCAGTTCTGGCGGCTGCATGAGAAAAGGGGCTCGCGCAAGCAATTCTTGAGGGGAAACGCTCAAAACGTGCACGCGTAAGCCATGCGTAAGCTTAACATGCGCGCTGACTGCCGCGTAAGGTGAAACACGGGTCGCGTAAGGAAAGCGCAAGCTCGCGCGTAAGCAACTTGATACGACATAGGGATTCATGGGAGGTTTATAGAGTCACTCGGAAAACATAAAGGACAAATGAGAGAGGTATGTTCATCATTGAAGCCACCTTTGCCTGCTGGATTTGTTGCAGGAGCAGCTCCAGTCAAGGCTGGATGAGATGGATGGCCTTCCCTCGCAGGCCAGATCGATGCTCGGATGGGCACGCATATACTTTCACCGTTCGACAAGTCCTCGAACAGTTGTTGTTTTCCGGCAACAGCATAACCTGTTGGAGGGGTGCCTGGCATGACCAAAACGAGATTCCCCTGGAAATGAGGCCCACTCGCTTTGATACCGATTTCCTCCCTGTTTCCAAATCCTGGCAGGCCAACCGTGCTACAGGTGCTCCCAACGAGGCGGGCATATGGTACTGGAATCAGATTCATGACCGATCAATTCAAACTTGGCTAGACGCTTGGTTCCCAGAAGCTCACCCGTAGTAACCCTGATTTGGGCCACTTTGAAATCAATTGGCCGCTTGGCACTGTGGGTTCTTTGGGGTTCCAAAAAGCATTTGCCGCAAGTGTGTTCAACGGAAAGAGCGGCAAGGACTTAAACCAGATTTCCGAACACGAATACATGTTTGTTTTACTTGGCACAATAGGAGAGGGTCCTTGAAAGGAAACTCCAGGCTTCCTCAACATATTGACTGGGTTAAGCTTCGGCTCCTTTTGGATTTGCATTTTTGCTTGTTTGTGGTTGTGGTTTGTGCTAGTGTTGTTCGGGCAGTGGTTTGTGTTACTCCTGTGCCTGTGAGCGAGTGTTTTATTTGACCTATCCACTGTTTGCCTTGGTGGCAAGGCGCTGGCAACACTATTTCAACGACGATTTGTTCCAATCATCAATTCCTAGATCCTTGTTTCAACTGTCGTTGACTCAGTTTTCCTCCGTAGCACTGACATGTGAATCTCAGGGGCGGTCCCCAGAAGACCGTGTTTCTTTTGTCCAGTGCTTTTTTGCTTTCCGTGCT